CTGGTCACTTGTTGGTGGTGGTCGAGCCATCGATGTCCACATACCTTGTTTCCGTCAAACCTGTTCATTTGCTCTTCTTCTTCCTGTTTATTATATGGTTGGCTTTTTGTTCTTCTTTATAGTCCACTAATTCTTTGTATTAATCTGATAAGAGCAAGCCTCTTGTTCCAATCTTTGTGTGCGAAGACCACTTCTACTTTTGTCTTGACAATGACCAAAATACCATGATTGAAGTATCAACCGCGTTGAAATATCCAACAACTTCTATTATACTAAGGAAGAACACCACCATTAGAAGATAACAGTGCGAAATTTGAAGAGAAAATTCACCAGGCTTAACTACTCGGCTCACATACTTGGCTTGTGATTGCGCGGTGGTTTGGGGCCCGCATGGGATCCGCCTGCCCTGCCACCTGATAACGTGAAAGGTAGGTTCCGAAGTAGGCCAAAATTTGGTACGTAAAGTGGTGTCGTAATCGGATGCAGACTCCGCGTAGCCGAAACTTCACCCTCCGTGCGACCCAGCGTTGTCCCGCTCCGCGACGGCCACTTGTTCGGTGCCACTTACGGTTTCTCCGCGAAGCAGCTTCGCACGACGCGGCTCCACGGTTCCAATCAATTGACGGAATAGCACTCACAGTCGTCTCCCAGAGAGAGGTGCCACAGCAGAGCTGCTGTTTGATTTGGTCAGACGAGAAGAATCGATTCCTTCACCGTGTGATAGGGTGTGGAGTTGGTGACTCCCATCTTCAGCCACAGAAACTGTCTGAGTGAGATTCCATGGCCATTCCTCGGCCAACTTGCATCCCATTGAGCAGCAACATGGCACCGGGAACTTGGCCTCGCATTCCTTAAGCTTCATCAGTCCACTTGCACAGGGACCATGTCCTTGTTCCACTGACTGGTGCATAAGAGACCGGATGCAGTTGTTCGCATATGTCAGTGAAGTCTCAGCTCAGCCCATGAATTTGGTCTTCTGACATCAAATGGGTGGCTGTAATTGCTGAATGCTTTAGATGTGAGGTCTTGCAGCAACTTCAAACATCATAAGCAGTCTGGATGGAGAGGCTTCGATCTGTTTCAACACTAGGATTAGGAACAGTGTGTAGGAGCAGCATAACTTTGAACAATGAGTATATGGAAATGTAGAGAAGAACGAATTCCATCATGATTCATTTCACAGATAGAACCACTGTTTTTCTGTTGGTGGTGTGATGATTTCAAGCAGCAACTTAAACAAGATGAGCAGTATGGATAAATAAGCATCAATCTGTCTTAGGAATAGGGAGGCCACGTAGATGAAGCATATAAATTCAATCAATCACTACAAAAGCAAATTATAGTTCTGAAATATTTCACAGATACAATCACTGTGTTCTGTTGGTAATTGTGATCATTACATGCATCAGATGTGAGGTCAAGATGTAACTTCAAGCAAGATAAGCAGTCTGTATGATAGGATTCAATCTGTTTCAAAAAAAGGGACACTCTCTTGAAGAAGCATCAACTTAGGAAGGTATAAAAGAGCAAATTCTAGTTCTGAGTTGTTTCCCATACTGTCTCGTTAAGTGTTTTGAGGTAATTGTCCTTAATGGTGATGTCATTTAAAACTCGATAGTCGATGTACATCCGTCAAGTTTTGTCCTTCTTGCGTACAAGTAGCATCAGTGAGGAATAGAGGTTGCAACTTGATCGATTCACCCCCAGAAGGATTGGAATCCGATGATCATGTTGTCGAGTAGGAGGAAGACCGCGCGGCTCAACAAAAATGTCAACAAATTTAGCAAGCAATTAGGCGAGATTTTGATCTTCAATTTCTATATTTTTCCTCTCTGGTTGCTGTTGGAGATGCATCAAAAAACCACCATTTACCTTGTGTAAAACTTTCTCCATTCATTGGGTTAGAACGGTGGTTACGTTGCTTCTGCGTAGAAACTTAGAACAAGATAAGGAGTATTTTATACTATGCCTGTAATATTTTATACTATGATCAGCATATATACCTAATCAGTAGAGTTTATAAAAGTCACTGAACACTTGGTAAAAAGTTATGCTCATCCAGCCAATAGAATTAACTGGTTCATAGTCAATAGAACATTTAGGGCCATTGGAGTCAGACTTTTGAGACATAGGCCATTTTTCAAAGCGACAAAGGGGAAGAAATAAGATCCAATCTTCCTCCTTTCTTTTGTTTGGGTGTCCGAAACATTAGAGGCGAGATAATATCAAAATAACTTTTAGAGATGAGTCAATTTCATCAAATGCAGTATAAAGTTTTTCTTGTGTAAATTATTATAGGCAATATTAGATTATATGATTCTGTTTAATTAGATAAAAATATATGATATATTTGATTAAATTTTTATTATGATTATCGATTAACAAAAAAAAAAGTTCAATTATAATAGAATTCATTAGAGTTTACTTTCACGGGAGAAATTTTTTTAATTACTTATCTTAGGTCTTTTGTTCTAACCTATAAATAAACAAAACCTCGTAAAAACTAAGCAGAGAGGATATGATAACATATAGAAGAGAGATTACTAATATTTTTTCATCTCCCATTCAATACATATTCTATCATTTATAGTGATTCTATGAAATGATAGGCAAAGAGGAGAAGATAAATTTAGTTTCCTTATAGATTAATATCGTTATAGTTTTTAGATCACGATACATTTATAAATTAGATAAAGGTTTTTAGAATGATATCGAAAGGTATGCACATCTAAACTTTGATATTGGGTTATTTGATTTTAATTTTTGATATTAAAGTTTTTTCATATAATAGAAATATTATTATAGTTTTTATGCTTATAATTGATATTAAAACTACATATTTTGAAATCAAAATAACTTATATCATAATTTTTTTTAAATCTATTTATGTGATTTAATTTATTCATATTTTGAATCATTATTTCAATCTCTAATTAATATTATTCTTGAATTAATTTGTGATGTATTATGTTTGATCTCTGAATTTATTCTTCTATGCTCCATGATTTTTTGCAAGCGATATGGGTGGTTAAGAAAGACTAATATTATTGTGATTCATTGAATAAATACAACATTGATAATATAAACCGTTATGATTTGCATTGATAATCAAACCTAATATAGTATTACTATGTTTATTGAACTTATTTGTCTATTTTATAAAATTCATGCATATGTGTAAAATGCTTTTCAAAACTTTTGTAATCCAATTTAATGAAATTATTTTATTTTTTTAAATTTTTAATTTTAATTTTAATTTTTTTTATATCTTATCATTTAATGAATGAAGTGAGAGAATATTAAATTATGTGATACTATTTAATTAGATAAGATATATTATAAAATTAATTATGGTTATTAATCAATAGTAAAAAAGTTTAATTATGGTGAAATTCCTTCGGAGGTGATTTAATGAGATGAATTCTCCTAATTACTTATCTTAGATTCATCAATAAATTAACAAAATATTATGTGATGAAATATAAAAGGGAGATTACAAACTTTCTTCCGTCTCATCTTACTCTATATTTCGTTACTTATTATAGACAGAGAAGAGAAACAAATCTAATTCTCATTACATATCGATATTATTATAATTTTTAGATCGAACATTAATATATTTATAAATCGTACATCTAAACTTTAATATACGATTATTTGATTTTAATTTTTGATATTAATTAAAAAAAACATAATTATAGTTTATATACAGATAATACCACAAACACTTGGTCGATGGCTTAATTAGTTACTTTCTCAATATCATTTTTGTCACCATTCCACCTCGTATATGACTGATCTATTAAGATTCATTGAGTCTTAAAAACACATGCCTAAGTCACTCAGGCAAACTTCTTTTGTTGTATTTGATCACTGATTCAAGCAGTCTACCATAGTTTTTTGCGTGTTTCATTTCCCTTAATTAATAGCAACCAGCTGAACATAAAGGTGGATGAAGGACACTCGAGCTTACAAGCAACAATTGACTAAATCCGAGGCTTGGATTCCAATCCAGAGACAGACATGAAAGGTTAGTTTTATCTAATTGGGAGGAGCATAAAATAGGATCAAGAGTAGTTTTCTTTATATATATATATACAAAGAAAAGTATGCTGTTTTAGTCTCCAATTTAACCTGATCTATCTTGACCCGAACCCGAGGATGGACGGCGAGGGTTTAGTCCCACGTTGATCAAGTGGTTCGATTCGATTGCGGAGCATCAATCCAGAGCGGATTTGGTTCAACCGGGTTCGCGTAAATATCCGCGTTGAGACAGTCGTTCTGCCGTTGATCCTCCTCCTTCATTCATCCTCTCCGTCCATATAATGAAGTGAACTTACAAGCGCATCTCACGACGCGTGGCAACTCTCGCACGACCGGCGTCGGTTGCCTCCGCATGCGAACGATTTCGTGCAAGTGTGTGCAAATATAAATATATGCGGGTAAATAATTTACCCTCCATAACGAATAATGAACGGTGGATCCTTCTACCGTATATAATATACTATGAAATTTTAGAATCAACATACTTCGCGGAAGGGATGAGCGTGGGTCGTCAGATCTTTATACGACCGCATAATTGTTCTATGTCAACATGCGCATTTTAGTTTATCGTCTTCTTCTCCTGTGTCCCCCCCCCGCCCCCCGGCTGCCTCTCTCTCTCTCTCTCCTCTCTCTCGTTCTAGGGTTTCCTCGGTCTTCGATTTGCTGAAGGAATTTAGGGTTCTTCTTCGATCCTTTTCTCGATTTGTTCCCTCTGAAACCTTTTTGATCGATTGGTGTCTCTGAGAGTAGTCGATTCGTCTCCCGACTACCCCGGTCTTCCATCGATCACACATATTAAGAAAAGCCCACATTTTTCTTCTCCTCAATTTCTTGTGAGTTTATCCCATGCTCTAAAGCGGTTTTGTTGGTGTGTTTCTCCAAAATTTACAAGGCTGGGGAGGATTCGAGCGCGCGAGAGAGATCTGGGGATGAGCGGAAACCCTAACCCAGCCGCCGACGCGAAGCCGGCGGGCGCCGGTCGATTCCGGGGCCTCGGCATGCACCATTTGGCGGATGAACACCATGTCCTGCCCTCCGTGATTCTTCCGGCTCAGATCGACGACCCCAGCGCTGTCGGCCGTAGCGGTGAGTTGATTGCGGCTGCCGACGCTCAGACCTTGCAGCAGTACCACGAAGCGGATCACAGCAGCGGCAGCCATGGCATGGAGGAGGATGGGGTTGGGGCCGTGGAGAACGAGGGAATGGAGACGGAAGAGCCGGCTGATCCGAGTCATCTCGGTGATGCCCAAGGTCTGATCGCGCCGCAAGTGGGCGGTAACCAGCTGACGCTCTCTTTTCAGGGAGAAGTCTTCGTTTTTGATTCCGTATCCCCAGAAAAGGTGGTATTTTTACCACGCGTACTTGATTCACTTAATTCAATTCTAAAGATCGAATCTTCAAAAGATGCCTTTTAATATCCCGTGATTGTTGAAATTTCTCTTTTCTGTTGGATACTACAGGTTCAAGCTGTGCTTTTGTTGCTAGGAGGTCGGGAGATGCAGACTAGCTTGAATCCTTTTCCATCATCTTCTATGCAGAACAAGGCACTGTATTTGACTACAAGTTGTCAATTTGTTTCCTATGCGTGCATTTGCTGCTCCAACAGTTGAGTTGCCTTTGATATGTGACAGCGCATGAATGTTCCACATAGAGTTGCATCCTTGATGCGGTTCCGGGAGAAGCGGAAAGAGCGGAATTTTGAAAAGAAAATACGTTACACTGTTCGCAAAGAGGTCGCGCTGAGGTAGGAGGGTGCATAATCTGAAGTCGTTACTGCTTTTTTTCTTGAAATGTTTCTTAAGAGACCGAGTTATGTTACCCCTTTTACCAATTTGCTATGTTGGTTCCTTTTTCTTAGAAACAACCATGATGGAGATCTTAATAGTCTTAGGAATGCTTATTAATTATATATTAGTTTACTGGTATTATTTTAATTACATCAAAACAGCAATCTATCACAATCAACAAATATGTTGGATCTGCTAATAATTGCCTTGTCATTTTGGTAGTTATGAAAGTGACACAAATTCACGGAGATGTTTTTTTTGTTTGCCACTTTTGTTGAGAATTCATGTGTTAAATGTTACTCTTTTTAGGACTATGAAGGGTTTCCTGTAATTGTGGTGGCATTGGCATTACTTGGGTTTTGTATTTTCTACTTTTGGAATTTAAAACTTACAAATGCCTGAAATATTATTTTTGGTAACATCATTTTTTAAAATGAAACACAGCGTTTTTCAACATCTAACTTTTCAAGAAACAAATTCATGATGCAGATGAAAAAAAAAATCGTCTTACTTCCTCTTGAACCAGGTTACTGTTTGCAATGGAGGATGGAGGCCATAGAGTTCAGATGTTTGGTTTGTCTACAACATCCTATTAGAGCCCTTAGTCATTGTTCAGAGACCTGCCACTCTTTTTAGTCATTTGTTGAAACTGGAGTCTTCTTCTGGTAAATTCACCTAATTAGTAATGATAATAAAAGATGTGACTGTCCTTTTATAGCATATCCTCATTTTTATATTATTAAAAATAGGCGGTGACCATCAAATGGACCTTCTAAGATGGACAGTTATACATGTTGTTTGTTGTATATATTTTTAAGAGCAGGAAAAAAGATAACAGCATGGAGCATGACCTGAACTTTTGGTAAGTGAAGTATATTGTTGCCAATCATTGTTTAGTAAAGTTTTCATTGCATTCTTTAAGTGTATTAATGTTGATGTGCAGGATTGTCTTAACTAAAATATTTATAAGAGAAAAATAATTTAGAAAATTTAGCAATCATTTTCACCATATAAATTAAAAAGGTGCCACTTCAAGTTCTTCAGTTGGATAACTAGTAAAGAGTGTGAATCAAAAAGAAAAACTCAATTTGGCTGGAAAAGCTTTAGCAGCCATTGAAATTACTTTAATGTATTGGTGTTTTCTCTGTATATCCATGTAAATAAAATTTTGTGTATGATTCTTGGGAACATATTGACTTGTATGCACTTTTCATTGGTTTGTATAAAAGAATATATAGGTGCATAGTGTTTATATGCACCTATAATAAGAATAAATTCATGTAATATATACATATATATATGTATACATACATATACATACATACATATATAAATAAATAAATATATGTATATATGTAT